CCACTGACACCTCAGGTCAACATTTACTTATTTTACTTATTATTTCATAATTTATATTCTCTTTTTGCTTGTCTTGAAATAATGACTTGTTTTCTCAATATTTTATGCCAAAATGAAGACTTATTACTAAAGTTTTCATGAGGACACTGAAATAGTGCTTTATGTTTTCAAAATTTTGATTATTTTGAGGTTGTAATAAGTAATTATTTTATTATTTTTTCGTATTATTTTAATAAATCCAATTTTCAAGAAAATAAGTCATCATTTATACATAGCAAGTCAATATCTCAAGAAAAAAAAGTCATTCTTTCAAAAAAAGTTGACATACTATGAGAACATAATTTTTTGATATAAGTCACAATTTTGACATACTGTTACCAGAAACATGGGCTAAATGGGCTATAGGTCACCTCAGAGTTCGACCTTCCACCAGGGGACCTCTACTACAATTCAAATCCTGAATAAAAGTATAAGTACCGTTTGAAACCATCCTTCAAATTAGTAGTGGTAATTTGAAGTATGAGTGAATGGAGCTAGTTGCTATTCACCTTTGCCTGCAGGTTGCTGTAATTCAGTCAAAGCTGATTCATTTAAACTAATGGAAGGTTATTTTTTCCTTGTTGAATTCTTCAGTTATCTTTCGGATCATATTTAAATGTCTGTTTATAGAAGCAGCCAAATAAACAATGGCTAGCATCTGGCTTGTCCAAACATGTCCTATAGGTAAAGAATCTAAAAAAACTAAAATAATAATAATTTCTAATGTCATTTGAGTGCACTAGTCTGCATCTGAATGTAGCCTATGAGCTAAAGCTTGACTAGATGAGTTTGGACACACACTTGGCATCTCCTCCAAGCCTATACAGAAACATGGCTTTCTACCGAGCCTCTGATCTCAAATCAAGTTACTGTAATCTCCTCGGTTAAAGTCAGGATTCATGTAGGAGAATCCGGACCTGCTTCAGCACTTAAGTGCAGCTTCTGTGTAAAGTGATCTCCTTATTAATAAGCCCTTATATAAACAAGTATTCAACAAACTTAATTATAGACAAAAGGTATAGCATTACAACATTTTGTGAGTACATAGCAATCAAACCACCAAACGAATGGAAAACAACACGTTTCTTCATTATACACTGTACAGGACCCCTTTGATTGGTAACTAATGTTTCATCCAAGCATTTGGTTACAATGCATTATTAAAAGTGATTATATGAAACATTATTTACTATACATAGCACAAGCTTCAAACATGGCAAGACATCTTCAAAGAATGAAAGGGACATGTCAAAAGTGCGCTGAAACTTTGGAAGCACTTCAACTTGTGTTCGTCAGATGCAAGTTCGACATTACTTCCATTATTATTTGTTTATTTTTTGTTTTGTTTTGTTTTTTACGAACACCGTACGAAAAAGAAAATGAGTAAAATAGTACACAATGTATTGCTAGACATGAAATGCAAGCATGTCTACCAGATCATGTTTGATCCGAGCATAGAACGCTTGTGTTTTTAGAAAGATTTAAAACAACAGTCATTGCTCAGTTTTGGGTGCTGTAATGGAATCAGAAGAGATTGAGTAAAGACTAATCCCTGATGCTCTGAAAAAAATCCATAAACGAACAGTCGATATTTACACCTTCGGGACAGGCAACATCAGTTTGTGCATGTTCAACCTCTTCTGATTTCATTTGTTTGGTCCTGCACCTGCAAGCACTGTATTAAATAACTTAATTAATAAACAACTGCAAGGCTTAGTTAAGTTATTTAATGTTGAGTGATACTCCAACAATTGTCCTGCGAAGAGTAATCCTGCCGCAAAGTCATGTGTCGTTTAGGCCTTCAAGGTTGTTGCCAGAGACGTTTTTAATCTCAGATACCCTCTAGAGTCTTCTTTATCACAGCGCCCCCTACTGTCTGGAGGCAGCAAAGCCAGATGCAAGAGTTTTATTAGGAAAGCCTTGAATTTCTAAAGGACAACGGAAAAATCTCAGTGCCAATAATGTGACTTCTGTCTGGGATGGGTCGCAAGTGACTGACTCATCTTGGAGCTTCTGTCTGATGAAATAGTCTCTCTGTGCCAAGGTTGCCGATGGCCGTGTTTGTCCTCGCTGAGCTACAGGCTCACCTGGGGCCAAAAAGACACCCCAGAGACATCTCTATGGGGACACAACCACAGATCATAGTAGGTCCAGATAATTAAATCACATGGCTGGACTCAGCACAGACCCACGAGACTGCGTTAATGCAACTTTGTGTCAATCAAGTTGCTTAACAATGGACTCATCAGTCAAGGAAAACTCAACAACTGCATTTTTCTGCAGATCTGACCTGGCAGTTTGTCCCACAGTGGAAATGAACTCTTTCTCAAAATAGAGCGGGAGAGAGAGAATGAGAGAGCGAGGGAGATAGATTTTGGTTTTATTGATGAGTTGGCTGGAGCTCATTCTTCAGGTAGTGAGATCCTGTAGAGTTATATAGGTGCTGCTTCGTTTTTTCTGATTTCCGTAATTCCGCCTCATCCTGCCTCTTTCTCCAATGCGGCAGTTTCATTTGGAAGCAGTCCAGGACAATAAATCCTTCATGCAATCTTTTTACGTCTGTTGCTATCCTGCAAAAGTCAAGATCTGCTTCTTATCCAAGTGCTCCCTGCTACTCTTGAAATCTGTCTGAGCCAATCCTGTTGAGGTCAAAATGTCTTATTGCTATAGTCAAAAGACTGAATTGTTAAAGATTGCATCAATGATGTCATTTGTTAGACATAGAGAAGAATGAGAATCATGAATCTGACAGGAAGTGGGAACAGGAATCATTAATCTTTAAGAAGAAACTGATGTAGCGTAGCTGCTTTTTGTAGGTTGAACTACAGTTTTTGCAGTCATACACCTTTGTATTCATGCTTGTCTAGTGGCAGAATCCGATATAGAGACTGTATGTGCCTGTCTGGCTCTAGAGGGGATACAGGAACTGAGATTTTTGGCTCTGCCGGGTTGAAGATGGGCCATCATTTATTACAGTGCCCCCTGCAGTGCCATGCCTGTAAGTGAGCCAGGCATGTGGCTGGTAACAGCTTGGATGGGCTGAGATCCAGCAGCAGCCATCAGTCATCCACCCCTGCTTAGGAGAGGCTAACATCCCATCCACCCTCATGGATGCTAGCATAGCATAGTGTAGCATCAACTCATCCTTCACAGGGGCTAGCATACTATAGCATAGCATCAACCCATCCTTCACAGAGGCTAGCATAGTATAGCGTCCACTCTGAACCTGGACAACAAGGCATAGTATAGTGCAACTATAGTTCAGCTTGCCTAAAAAAGTAGACTACTGGCTTGGATGCTCTGTATTTCACTTCTGCACTGGTACTTGGTTTAATTTCATATGTATTTGCATGCAAATGTTAGATTGCTGAGTTCTAACATGCTCAGAAAAACTTCACTTTTTTCCCTCCTGTGTCAAATATTGTCAGTCTCAAATGGGAATTACCTACATTTGGCTGCCAGGTAAATACGTCATGTCTGCTGTTATAAATTAGATTCTCAAAAGGTCTATGACAAAGTAGTGATATCATCTAGGACGCACATGCATTCACAAAAGCATTCTGTGGTTTTGATGCTTTATGCACTGACTCTATGAGGATCATTAACTTGCTCATCCCTGGAATATGATGGAAATATCTCAGTATCTCCCACCAGAAATGACAAGCATCCTCTCCTGAACTCCTTAACCTAGACATTAGCTCCTCTGTTGCTATGGTAGCCTGATTTCCTCAGGCAACTGTTGTCCCTGGCACTGCTCCTGTGTGTCTGAGCTCAGTGACCTTGCCTCTACCTGTGCACTTTGCCTTTTTTTGCAGGGGGTGGGAAAGGAAACAACACAAATAGCAACAAGGTTGGCATGGCTACACCCTGGAGGAGTGTCAAGAATACCATTGTCCCCTTCCCTTCTACCTCAAAGTCTTTAGGACTTGATTTCACTAGAGACCTCAAGAGTTCTGTTCTTGTCTTACTTCAGGTTTTGTAAATTTGTGGAAGACTGGGGTGGGTGTTGCTAGGGCTGGGTATCAGGGTGGCTGTTAGGCCTCACAACAATCAACCCTGTTTAAAATCAGCTATCATCCAATCTTTTCAGTAAGGTACAATTGGTTCTGGACAAAGTTAATTGTTTGTTAGGCCTAACAGCCAGCCTGGCACCCAGCCCTAGCAACACCCACCCTAGTCTTTAGCCCATTTAACTCTCAGCCCTGTACCCAACGCAATTAACACCCAGCCTTGTTCTCAACCCAGTTACCACCCAGTCTTTTGCCCAAACCAATTAACACTCAACTTTTTCCCCAACTCAATTATCATGCAACCTTTTCCCCAATGCAATTAACACCTAGCCCTAGCACCAACCAAATCATAACCCTAAAAATACTGTTAAACTTAATAAAACCCAGACTGCATCCATCCAAATTAGCACTCAACCATGTTGCTTACTTCTACTGCCCCTTCCTCATGGCCTTCTATCTCTATATCTCTCTTTTCCCACCTCCCTCAGTCCCTCAATCTCATGCTCTAGATCTGTCTGAGTGATGTCCCCCACTGTGTCGGCTGGAGGTTGATGGGAACTGACAGTCCAATTGTTTGGTCCAGGCAGAAGGGAGGAGTCGTAAGATGCAGGGCTCCTGAGAATGCCCCGCTTTGGCAGCACACGTCACCACACTATCAGACAACTTAGCACAGGTGGTGGAATCACAGAGACCAGACAGCTAAGTTGGAGTAAAAAGATGGCCAGGAAATCCCAACGATCTGAGAGAGGGCCACCGTTGACCAAAAATACTCCCTCTTTGTTTACTGACGTTCTTCATAGACTCAATCAACAGGAAAGAAAATGATTACAATTGCCAACATTACATCCTATTAAAACCCAATCCCAAGAACTTTTGAATATCCAGATCAACCATCAAAGTCTTGTTCATTTTTCTACTTCTCATTTTTCTCATTCTCTCCCGCTCTGCATTATCACTCTAGCTCTGCTTTCACACGGTCACCTCAGTCTTGCTGTTTGTGGGCAGCCCCTTGTGTTTAGGGAGGAGGTGAGGGGATTGTCCATAGGCCAGTGGCTGAGAAAACAACTCTGGCAGTGTCTCTATGCTAAACTGGCGCTTGTTGGAGTAGGCCTGGCGCCGGCTGTTGGGGTGGGACTGTGGGAGTTGTGGCTGGCCCATGAGGGGCACCTGATGCTGGGCAGGGCTCCTACTGGGGTCCCAGGCCTTGAAGGCTGAGCTGGATGTAAGTGGATGGGTGTTGGTTTTGGAGATCTTAGGCTTAGGGAACTGGGCAGGCGTGATGGTAATAGCGAGGGGGGCGTGGATGTCCGGAGGAGGTAGGAACGGCTTGTCCTTGGGATGGAAAGCGATGGGTTGAAAGGTTGCAGGAGAAGACTGACGGTGTGTGTAGTCCACCATGGGGTAACTCTTGTAGTAGTCTCTGGCAGTCGTATCTGCAAAGGAGAGAGAAAATGGTGAGGGAGGGAACAGCATAAGGCCTTCAGTGAAACACTCAGGGATTTCAAAAGAACAAAGTTACAATAGATAAATGCATTTTCTAAAGCACTGTAGAAAACTGCTGCAGCTATACTGGCATGATTTAGATTAGATGATGAAAGAACTGAAAGAACCACATTTGACAGCTGTAAATGTTTATGAATGATGGAACCAAAACCTCTGTTATTTTTCACAATGCAGCATATTTAACGCTTTAAGCCCTAATCCTACCAGTGGCTACTTGGACATGATAAAATACACAATGTGCAAGTATGTGACATCTGATCTAATTCAACACAAACCCTGCTTTTTGATACAATACACAATCAACAAATGGATTTTTACAATAACTGAAATTTTGGGGAGGGCCATGCCAGAAACACCTCCTCTATCTAATCCAATACCTTATAATTTCTCACCTCTACCTTCCGCTTCTGATTACCAAATCTTCGCAACACCCCACCACTGCATCCATTCCCTGTCCCTAAAACTCTGCTAAAACTCTGGCCCAGGTTCTCAGAGTTCTCATCCCTCCCTCAATCAGCCTCTCATACTACCACCATATGTCAAAGGCACCAAACTCACAAAGTATTTTATACCATCTGATTCTGCACAAACTCAGCTTTTCAGTGATATCAGTTACTGAACACAAACATTAAATGATAAAGACAAAACAATATGCAAAGGCAGACACTGGTGATGTGTATTGTTAACTAGCTGTATAGGGTCACATCACATTCCTGACATTTCTCAAGTGTCATCAGCCTTTTAATTGCTGTCGTCTGAAAGTTTTTGTAGTTTTACAGCATCCTTCTTGGAGAAAATGATCTTTTTTGGAAGTCTTAAGTCAAATGTTTTCAAGTCTTTTAAAAGTTGTGATGGAAAGTGCTAGCATGCTGAAATCTGCTAGCATGCTGGAACGTGCTAATATAATGTTGGCAGTCATATTTTGAAATTACTGCTTTGATCGGATTGGCTGGATGTTGAATTTAATCTACTACTTTGGTACCAAGCGATGACAAAAAGAGAATAAAAAAAATGGCTACTGAATGTTGATCGGCATGTACTGTAATCTAATGAGCAGGTAACACAGATGACTCTGAGTTTGATGTGCAGATCAAGGCTAGGATTTCATGGTGAAGTACAACATAAAACATTGCATATGACATTGTAAAATGACAATGCTAATTCTAAAATATCTGCCTCTTTAACTTTGAATTGGTCAACATCTTACAATTGTTAAGTAATTTACAATTAAACACATGAACACATCAATAGCAGATCGCTCAGCCTTAAAGGCTTAAGTCTCTGTGTAATGCAAACAAAACTGGCTAATACTGATTTACTTTCTGTATGCTATTGTTCCTCAATGGTAAAAGCATAGTTATGTCTTGTAACACGCTAGTAATGTTGCGTTTATTCTATGCTCTAACTATTATATTGACTTGTGCTGTAACCCATGTGTATTGTGTGCCACAAAAGTGTGATTAAAATGAGAAGGTCTCGGTAGAAGTACAATTTAATTACAAGCGTCTGAGAATCACTGGTTCTGACGCAAACGCAAATGCTCTAGGGTTTCTCTTCAGCACACACACTCACACTCATGCACAAGCTGAGGCTTTGCCCCCAGTTAACATGGAAATGAATCTGAAATCTAAAATGCTAAAACGAATCCCTTGCAGTGAGGGATTCAGGAGAAAAACCGCAGCAGCAATGACGGAGCACTGGCTTTTTGTTACACCAGAGATTTTCATATCACACATTTTCACAATTCAATGCTATTTGATAATCAGTCATTAGTTATTATTTACATTTCATGAATGATCATTAGAAAAATAAAGATGTAAGCATTGCTTAATCTGGACAAGCACACTAGCTTTTGAAACTGCCCACTAAAAAAGGTTACTCTCAGAAACATATAGCAAACACACTAACAAAGCTAGAAAAAATCAGTACAGACTAGCATAGCTAGTCACCAGCAAAACCAGCACATCGTATGTTGTATATTTTGATGCTGGTATGCTAGTCAACCAGCATAGCCATGCAAGGTGACCCGCATAAACTGGTTTTTGACTTCCATGCTGGTCTAAGTTGTTTTTTAGCAAGGACGTTCACCTGTAGTCATTAAACCCCTGATAGCAAGAGGACAGTGGTCCACTGTTGGCCCGCTTATGGCAAAGCTGGCGGTCCACTTGCGTTTTGCTCAGTGTTTTCAAGGCGGTCCAGTGGCGGTTAAGCGGAATATTAGACAAAAGTTCACTTATCATCGCTCATTTTCAACTTACAGTCCAGTTTACAGATTTTTCCTTCCTTCCTTTCTTTAGTTACACTTTGTAAATTAGATTAGTAAATAATTTTAATCTAGCACAGCTTTAGCAACAACATTTTCTATATAATCATTTTATGTCAGGCCTAGTCATTATTTTTTTTCTCTCGGTTGTTCGTAAAATTTGTGTAAGTTTATTTTCTAAAATAAAAGTCTCTGTTTGACGGGATTAAAAACGAGTCAGAGCTTGTCTGCAGGACAGTAATCTGGGTGGTTCAAGGGTGGACCAGCAGTGGCAAACAGTCAGTGGGGTGCCGACTTTTTCAAACCAGCGGACTGATATATGCTTGCTGTCTGGGACAGTTTATAATACAGTCTTTAAAAGTGTTAGTCCTGTCTGAGTGTCCAAAAATTAGCATTCAGCAAAGTCAGTGAGACGTGCCTAGAACAGAGAACTAGCCTGCAGTTAAACAGTAACATTTTTCATCTGTAAAACATTAGCAGTGGTGGGAAGAGTGTAGTGTAGGGTTAGAATACAAATACAAATGAAAAAGTATTAGCTTTGTTAGCATGTTAACATATTAGCCTAGTGGTCAGGTCGAGGCACAGTTAGTGTATTAGCAGCAGTGGTGGAGATCATTTAGCCTTGGTGAGAGCAGGTTAGTGCTTTAACAGCAGTATGGTGGGGTGCTGCATGTTAGCGTATGTTAGCAGTAGTGTTGACCAGGGTAGAGTGGGTTAAGAATAGAGTGTGTTAGCCTGTCAGTTTGGATTAGCCCATCTCCGCTGAGCGCTGCTCGGTCAGGTCACTGCCGCTGGCATCAGTGCCCTCAGACACTAACAACCTTGCTCGCCTCAGTGGCTTTTTTCGTCCAGGCGGGAAAAGGAAAAAACTCCCTTTTGTTTACAACCCCACTCTTCCACAGTCCTTCTTCGTCTCTGTTCCTGTCCACTATTGATTGAGTCAAGACTACCACAGAGAGACAGATTAGCTGCTGACAAGTCAAGTCTGTGTATGTATTCTCAAACTTATAGGACAGCAGATGCTAGTAGAGCATGGCCTCCATCCTGTCAAGATTGTTTCAGACTATATGACCATGAGGGAACTCATCTGTAGTATCACAGCCACTGTGAAAACTGTTATCAGCACATTTTATACGGGTGATAAGCCCACAGCTACAACCATACCAAAGATAGCCCTGCAGCCCTTTCTAATATGGACTGTTCAATTGAGCTAATTTGCTAACGTAGATGTGCCAGTAGATTCATATGGTCATGCTAATTTGCCCAAGTGGATGCTAATTGAGGAGCTGATGTGCAAATATACGCAAATTAGCACTTAGCTTGTATGCTTTGCTGGCTTTCAGTAAGGGCCTGGATTTGTGGAATTCATATTCATTCAGGGCTGCAGCTAAAAAACCGGCTGACATTTGCATGTGTGGATTTATTCTAGGAAGCCAAAGCCATGAGTGTCTCTTATGTTGAGACTTCTCTGAAATTAGTGAGCAGAGCACCAAAAGAGCATGTGCAAGCAAATAGAGCCATATTTCTGAGGAGCATGTGTAAAGCAGGAGTTTATTGTTTAGGGAGTTCATGTAAAAAGGCTATTAGATTGATAATGAGTGAGTGTGAAGGGATCTGCTTTCAACTGCCGCCTATTGGTGCCAACTCACAGATTAAAGGACTGCCTGACACACACACACATACACACACACAGCAAAGCCAAGTTTGAATTGGACTGCTTCACAGACTGGGATTCAATACTTGAATCCATCATTGTTTGATAGAAAAGCTATATGTCTGCATTAGAAATATTTAATTGATCACAAGTTGAAATACTGATAATTTTGTATTAGAAACAGTATATCAATAAAATCAAAACTATACAAACTGGCATAAACACAGGTAAGGAACATCTGAAACACACATGCATAACTGCAAATTTCTGTGGTTTACATTAGAGCTGAATCATAGCCCAGTGGTTTACATGATCTTAATGTCCCATATAGAAATCTGATATATTGGACATATATGTATAATATATGGACAATATATATGTGGCTGATAGATGGGTAACTACATACATGCAATAAATGCATTTTGAATGTACGTTACACACGTTTGTATGTCCCATATTTGAAACCAGCCAATTTCAAACAAGTTGGCATATATGTTTCATAAATGTCCATATACGACAAACTCCAAGTTGTATAAGGGAAGTTCATTTATGCTAATATATGTCATACATTTGAAATACATACAACGCCATAGATCAAATTTCCATATGGGGTAACAGTTCATCCCAAAATCAAATTTACACAAACCCCTGCTTATCTCAAATAGGGCTCATCAGCAAAGACATTTTGCTTTTACAAGGCTAATAGCTAGTAGTGATGGCAGAAATAAGCCAGACAATTGTGACCCTTTTGATAGTTTTGGAAATCTTTTGGGACGCTCCAATCAGAAATATTTAGACTTTTGCTGATTCTGAATACAATAATATTAATTACATGTACCATATTATTGTGTGCGATTGAAAAAGCACTGAAATTAAAGCTTTAAAACTGAGAATTTTCAAGTTTTTGTCAAAGAAACTTCAGCAGGATGTGCTGAGCGCACATATTTACAGTAACACTTTTCACAACCAGAAGTGAAAATGTTTATTACCAAAGATTTTGAGTGACTCAATAT